CGTGTCAAGCAGTTACCCTCAATTCAGTGAAAATGAAAGTCACATTCTTTTTTGTGTTAATCAAAGCAAATAAGAAATGAGGCGAGGTGGCAGGGGAGAGTAAGGCGGAGGTGTACCAGTATTAGTGTCGACAGTATCTTTGCAAGGAGGAGAAGGGAGGCAAAACCAGAACACAACTCTTCCTTGGCCGCTGCCCCACTAGGTCCAGTGGTTACCACCCATCACTGTATAAAACAATCTCCCAGGCAATGTCTCACAAAACGGGTTTCCAAAGTAATGATTTGCATATTTCTAATGGGGGCATGGGGAGAGGAGCCCCACAGAGCAGCCAAGAAGTCTTAGTTACGTTAGCTGTGCTGGACGCCAGAGAAAAAGGTCCTGGAGCCAAATTGAGCCCACAGGCTGCTTTGCATGTGATGAAGCACATGAGTCATTTACAATTTGCAGCTCCATAGATTTTGTTGTGCATGGGTGAAATCATTGTCTAGTTCCAATGTCGCTTACTACAGAAGACCTGCAATTCAAACACATCCCAGAGCGTTTCCTACATTTTAGAGAACAAGTTATTCTTCAGAGAGCAGCATACATCAAAACTGCTACCAGTTACTTAAATTGCATTATAAAATAAGGTATGAACCATCATAAAGAAATCTTTAAATAAATAAAGTAAAATAACAGGCATTCTTGTTTCGATCCCCAGGAAAGACCCACGACATTATAAACCTTATATTATAGGTTTATAAGCAAAGAGGGCGCTTGTTGCTTTTGTGTAACATTATATTCCTACCCAGATCTCCCAATTGTATTGGATCCTACTGAATGAGGTGTTTCCTCAACAACAAAAAGAGGAGCCAATGATTTATCAGGGTTGCCAGAAAACAAGGGTAACACAGGTACATCAAGGGAACTGGAAAGTAGCTAGGAAGAAGAAATAAATCCCATCAATACATCAGTACTTACATCTTAATTCTGTTGAAAGGGCTGCTGGAAAAGGTGAAGAAATGCACATTTTCAAAAAATCTTGGAGCTATGATTCCACCAATGAGGTGGTCCGCTGGTCGGTAAAAATTCACAGGAGAATTTGTATCTCCAATCAAACTAGGTGGACACTTTACCCTCTGCAGCAACCCATAGTTTGTGAGAGACATCACTAGAAACAGTGTTATCATTCTAGGTCTATCGGCTACACTTTGCTTGTGACTGTTCTTCCCCCCACTACCCGCTGCTCAGAAGAAACCCCACATTCTTGCAAATCAGAAGCTGCAGTGGCTTGACAAATAAAGGGAAGTGTCTGGCTGTTGCCTCAGGGTCAAAGGGGGATTGAGGAGAAGGGCCAAAGATTCAATGGACAAGCATCTTCTTTTGCACCCAGAAGGTGTGAAGTGCAATCCTGACTCACTTCTTCAGGTATGGCTGAGGATGTCCCCTTCGTGGAAAGCTACTGCCAGTCAGCAGATGGTACAGATCTCAAAGGCAGCTTCCTATGTCCTGATTAAGCTTTGCACAAACTTAGCTTCCCCCCTTCACCTGCCCTATATCTTAGCCCCAAGGACTCTGTGGCACATGAGATATTTTATACATCAAACCCTTCAGGCACAGTGGAAGAAACAAACCTCCAGCTGCCCTTAATTGTGATGTTTGTGTTATTGTTCCCAAATGCAATATTTGAGGGCGGGGTGTGAGGATCCCTTGGACTCTGTAAATAATAAGAATAAATCACTGTGGTTCAGATAATTGTAAAGGGAAGAGAGGTTTCCTCTGGAACTTCAGAAGAGCAGGTGCAGAGCAAGAGAAAAACATGTTTACTGAATAGACTGACATGGGTCAAGGAGGGAGAAAGATGAGTTTGAATGATCTTTATTGGCCTCTTAAGAGCCCTGCAGCTGATCAGGCCAAAGGCCCATCAAGTCCAGCATCCTATAATCACAATGACCAATGAGTTGCCCCAAAGGAAAACCCACAAGCAGGAGATGTGGAGCAGAACCTTCTCTACATGTGATTCCCAAAACCCATCGCACAGGGGCCTCCTACCTTCAGCAGAGGAGGGAGAACATATCCTTGAAGGCAATAGCCTTGGGCAGCCTTTTCCCCCTCCATAAATTTGTCTAAATATCTGTTACTACACAATTGTAAATATACCTACTCAGTGGATTACCAAATATCTCAATAAAGACCTGAGTGCATTCCAGCAACCCAATCTTGAATTCAAGGTTGTGCCCTTCCAGTTGTGATGTGCCTGGTATAATGACAATTTGAGTAAGCCCAATGATTGCCATGGAAGCCATGAAGTCCCCACAGGGCCCAGTGGCAAACTCTGAATGACTATGTTCCTACAAAACCATGCCAGAGACCACCTCTGTCACCTCAGTCAGGACTGGTGCCCCTTTGTGAACCATGGACCCCAATGCCTGTCTTACACCTTATCATCCAGGTTCATTGGCTGCGACTGACGGGAGTTGGAGTGTCCTGAAACATCTCAAGGGCTATAGGTTCCTGTGCACTGTTTTATACACTTCTATTTATGCCCACCCCCAGTTGCTTCTTTCCTTGGGAGAGGAGAGATAGGTCACACCCACACCAGCCAATTAAAGCACATGGGCTTCCCCCAAAGGATTCTGGGAGCTGCGTGACAAAGGGCTGTAGCTCAGCCGCAGAACATCTGCTTTGCATGCAGAATGTCCCAGGCTTGATCCCTAATGTCATTTCCAGGAGCCGCACTGGAAACTTTGAAGAGCCAATGCCACCTAGACAACACTGAGCCTACATGGACTCAATATGAGGCAGCTTACTACATTCCTAGTTTACCCCTCAGAGCTACAGTCCCTGGACCCTTAAACTACAGCTCCCAGGATTCTTCGGGGGAATCCATATGCTTTTAATATATGGTGTAGGTGGAGCCATTTTTTATTTTTGCCTTGCCCTTGGGATGTACCCATGCTGGGGTTTGGGAATTGCAAACACTTGTGTGAGTTGTGCTCTGTAACCACTGTTTAGGATTCCACTTCTGGAATAAGCACAGCGCTTCTGGAAACAGAAAATTTTAACCGTGCAGCAAAAGTGAGGGTTTCAAACCTAATCAAAGCAGTGGGATGGTGTTGTAATTGAGAAAGGGCCTTGCTCCTGCAAACCGTTGAGGTGTGTTGCAATCCCCTTTGATTATAGACAATCACCATTGCTGCCACCACCTTTGTGGTGACAAAGATTTGTCTGCAGCCACAGTCAAAGGGGATTGCGACACACCTCTCCAGTTTCCTGGAGATTCCCCAGCAGTTTTAAATGGGCAACTGTGCTTTGAACTGTTTGGGAATCTGGTTCCTAAGCCAAGGGGGGGCACTCCCCCCAAGTCAATTCAGTTGTCAGCTTCTTGAGCAGCTTAGGAGACTCAGCTATGAGTAATGTGCAGTCTAACTCAAGATAGAAGAACCTGGTACAGGAATGTTTTCAAACAGCAATGGGCAACTCCACAGTTGCTGTTATTGAAGAATCAGTAAGAGGTCTACTGCAAATTATCTATTTCCTCCGCATCACAAGCAAGCTAAGGGAACATTGACGACAATGCTCTTGGACCTATCTCTTACCATATACATAGTCAGCTGCAAATTGCAGTGAGAAGAAACTGCTTGGCTATGCAGTGGGGGTGTTATTGGGGTGTTGTTTTTATTTTGATTATATATTTTGTGGTTTTATACTTTGATTATCTTCTGTGAACCGCCCAGGGACCTCCTGGTATAGGGCGGTATACAAATTCAATAGATAAGAAGAAGAATATGCACGGGTGCACACACACATATTTGTGGGGTTTACTGGAACCTTCTGGAAAATGCTATCGGGGATCCAGGTATATATTTTTTAATCCCAACAACAAGTTGTGGTTCCAATCAAGATTCTGGTGGAGACTTTAAGCTCTACAATTTTATGATTCTATGGTATTCATAGAGCTAAGAATCAAATGTCATGTTTAGCTTTCTCTTGTCAGATGCTCTTTCATGTTCAGATCTGGCCTCAGTATAATAATGTAGCACTTGGGAATGAAGATGCAGCCCAGAAGCCCAGCACTGGAGGCCAAGATAGAGAAGATCTGCACGGCTACCATGTATTTCCCCTTGGTGCTCAGGTAGGTGGGCACAAGGGGAGCCAAACACTGCAGAAGACCAGCATGCTGAAGGTGATCAGCTTGGCTTCATTGAAATTTCCAGGCAGCTTTCTGGCTAGGAAAGCCACTGTGAAGCAGATGGCAGCCAGGAAGCCCATGTAGCTGAGGGAGCCATAAAACATGAGCACAGACCCTTCATTGCATTGCAGGATGATTTCTTCAAGCTGGGAATGTATGTCAGAATCTGGGAATGGAGGAGAGGCCCCCAGCCAGATGGTGCAGATGAGAACTTGGACACTGGAACAGGAAACGACTATGGAGTTGGCCAGACTCTTCCCCAGCCATCTCCTTACCCTGTTCCCTGGCTTTGTGGCCAGGAAGGCCAGCACCACAGTGATGGTTTTTGCCAACACAGAAGAGACAGCAACTGAGAAGATATTGCTGAATGCTGTTTGGCGAAGAAGGCAGGTGGCTTTCCTTGGCCTTCCAATGAAGAGGAAGGAGGACAGAAAGCAAAGCAGAAGAGAGATGAGGAGGATATAGGAGAGGTTCCGGTTGTTGGCTTTGACTATGGGAGTTTCTTTGTATTTAATGAAGATTCCTAACACAAAGCCTGTGGTTAAGGATAAGAAGAGAGAAAGGGAAGCTAGGAGGCTCCCCAAATATTCCTCATAGGACAGGAAGATGATCGCTTTGGGGACACACTGATCTCGGTCCTCACTTGGATGCTGATCTTCTGGACAATTGGTGCATTCATCAGCATCTGCATAGAGGAAAAGACACTTCAGTATCCTAATATCAGTAACACACCTACAATGGTCTTATGCTGTTTCAATTCTGAGGAAAGGTGGGCATAAGGGAGAAATCAGGAAAGAAGATTGTTTTGTACAGAAGGAGAGAGGCAAACATTCACAACTAGAAAAGTATCAATCCATCAACTCATTCCCACAGGCTTCTCTTAAAACAGGTGGCTTTGATTTTATTGAGTAGTACTTATATCCTTAAGGTTTCATATGAGTTAATCTTTAGTGATTAATGGTTGGATTTCAAAGATGTTTCACCTCTCCATCTCTAAAATTATATGGGTTATGTAGTAGAAGCCAATATGAGAAATGAGAAAATAAAACTACAAATCAAAATTTTGTAGAAAAGCTACCATCATTAAATACAGGTTAATTATACATGCTTGAGCACATGGGCAAATAAAATTTCCTTGTGCTGGGGGTGGGAACAGGGGAGACCTCCCTGAAGAGGGTATTTCATTCATGAGGTGCCATTACTAACATCATGTTTGGAGTGACTCAGAAATTTGCCCCATCCTCCTATCAAAAGTCTTTTCCTCTGAGATCCTCCCCTACCTTCCTGAGTGGAGATTGTCCCTTCTGAGCAGGGAGCACAATCATAGCAGCACGGTGGCTTCCCTTCCTGAACCTTTTTGGCAAATCCTGGGAGACAGCTTTCGGTGCATCTTGAATGAGGCACTGTCTAGACATAAAGAGATTGAGCACCAAGGAGAAAGTGTCAGTAGCAATTGTGCCTTTAGATTAAAGGTTATACCTGTTTACTCAAGAGCAAGTCCCATTAATCTCAGTGGGACTTAGCTGCAGGGAGTGAGCACAAGATTGCAGTCATATGTATTATTCAAAATGTTGTTAGAGCGTGGCAGATGCTATAGTTAATAAAAGGACAGATATAATTTCTCATACCTTCTTAAATAGATTGGGCCATACAATTAATTCCGGATTAATAGTGAACTTCATATTTGAGGACCCCTGTCTCTCTATTCTCCCAATCTTCACTCTAGCAAGAGAGTTGTTAGGAAACAGCACCAGATTCACGATATCGAAGTCAGCAGCCACTGCCCCATCCTCATCCAAGTACTGTCCATCAGCTGAAGTATTAGTATAGGAGCGGACTTCTTTCAAGAAAGGATGAAGCTGGAATGACAGAGGAAACTCCAGCATTGAGAGAACGAGAACCCATGTTGGTTAAGTCGCCACTAATTTTTTGCATCCTTATCTTCTTTCAATGAGGCACATCTCTCATCTGGACTCATAGCAACTGTGATAGGTTATTAGGCCCCCCGCATTCTGCTTCCGCATTTTGGGGATGACCAAAGTCCGCATTATTACATACAGGAAAGGTTGATTAAGATGTTGGGGAAAATATGGATAGAATGATCAAGATGGCTTTATTAAGGGCAAAACACTAAGTTCTAATAAGGATAAAGTCATCTTTCTATTGCAGGATCCTCTTTTCCCTATAATAACCGCATAAAGGAAATTTTATAAAGAAGACTATCCAGTGGTATTGATTACCCTGAAACTCAAAGATTGTAAGGAAGGTTAGAGATTCCCTCCATTTGTTGTGAGGCTGCAAAAGCTTGTAAATGTATTGCTGCCTAATGGTAGTCTAAAATGTTATTGTCTAGTCCTAGTACGCTTATTAATTTTTTAAAAAAGATTTAGGTCTGTTCCTCAGCAATCTGATGAAGCAATAAGGGCTAAAATAACTGAGGCACTTGCAAATGTGCTTGAGATACAAAAGTAGGAGGTAGATAAAACTATTGATCATGCTTTCAGGGTTAAATCCCTGTATGCTAAGAAGAAGGAAAATTTCCAGGAGATTGTCTGGTCCTTTTTAATTCTAGAAATATCAAAGACAGAGTGCTTCAGACACATTATGAGAAAGGTCTTGAAACAGGGAGGGAGCAGAAGAAAAGGAAGAGATTGAAGAAGAGGAAGAGGAGAACAAACAGCAGGGGGGATGGAAGCAGAGGGGTAAACAAGACTTAATTGAAAATGGATCTTAGAATTCTTAAATGGAATGTAAATTGATTAAATAATAAATTGAAAAGGCATAAAATAGCACACATTTTGACAAAACAGAAATTAGACATTATTTGTTTGCAGGGAACCCATATAAAAAGACAACACAGAAAATTATTAATAAATAAAGGTCTGAGACAAAAATTCATTTCTTCTGATAAAAAAAGAAGAGGGGTAATGATGTATGTTAATCTCAAAATTAGACCCTAAACCCCCAAACCATCTTTAAATATAAAAGATGAAGAATGCAGAATGATGGCAATTAAACTGAATCTAGCTGGGGAATCAGGGATGCGGGTGGTGCTATGGGTTAAACCACAGAGCCTGGGGCTTGCCGATCAAAAGATCGGTGGTTCGAATCCCCACAATGGGGTGAGCTCCCATTGCTCATCCCTGCTCCTGCCAAAGCATGAAGTGCAAGTAGATAAATAGGTACCACTCCGGCAAGAAGGTAAATGTTTAATAGGTTATTGTATTTTAATATTCTTTTGGAAGCCACCCAGAGTGGCTGGGCAAACCGAGCCAGATGGGCGGGGTATAAATAATAAATTATTATTACAGTGGTACCTCGGGTTGCATAGGCTTCAGGTTACATATGTTTCAGGTTACAGACTCTGCTAACCCAAAAATAGTACCTCGGGTTAAGAACTTTGCTTCAGGATGAGAATATAAATCGTGCTCCAGCGGCACAGCAGCAGCAGGAGGCCCCATTAGCTAAAGTGGTGCCTCAGGCTAAGAACAGTTTCAGGTTAAAAACAGGCCTCCGGAACGAATTAAGTACTTAACGCGCGGTAACACTGTATTATTATATAAACGGTGTTTCCGTGCGCTGCTCTGGTTCGCCAGAAGTGGCTTAGTCATGCTGGCCAAATGACCCGGAAGCTGTACGCCGGCTCCCTCGGCCAATAAAGCGAGATGAGCGCCGCAACCCCAGAGTCATCCGCGACTGGACCTAATGGTCAGGGGTCCCTTTACCTTTATATGGGGAATCAATTATTCTAGGGGGAATTTACCCTCCCAATGAACAGAACACGGACTTGGAAGAGAAAGGGTTTGACTTGTGTGATAATAACGTAATAATGATGGGTGACTTCAGTGGTGGTGTTTCGCTTGATGTAGATAAAACTATAAGGAAAAAAGAGTCAAGAAAAGGGAGACTACCAATTGCATTTTTTAAATATGGTGTTAAATTTTGATCTAATTGATTTATGGCGACTTTAGCATCCATTAGAAAGCCAATTCACATTTCCCCCCCCAGCACATATAATTCCTTTAGCAGAATAGACTACCTTTGGAGTAGAGAAACGGATCTAAGTGTAGTGTGGGATGCCAGTAAGGCTGTAATGAGATGTTTCTTAATTCAGCAAAGTGACGCAGGGACGCGTCTGTAGCTCTTGCCGAGCGAAGTGAGTAAAACTGGCCCCATGGACCTGGGTGCCAGATGAAGTGAAGGACACGAGGCAGGAGTTGATAATGCAGGTGACCTGTGCACAAGAAAGCTGCCAGCTAGCTCTGTAGAGGCTCCTTTTATTGCCACAATATGCAAACTCAGGCAGATACATTTGGACTATGACCTTTACACATCTTCCAGTCCCAAGATCGTGAGGTGGTACAAAGTTATTTTGGCACCTGTTTCCACCGCGTCATTTTCCCCTTGCACAATGTATGATGAAGGAGACAAAGGTCTCAGAGACAAAGGTCACAGACAGGACACAGCAGACTACTGAGACCGCAAAAGGTTAGACAGAGGGCAAGTTGTTCAGACAGCTGTGGCTTTATCTGTGAGGGGGAGTGTGCTCCGCACCCCAAGGTCACGCGTGCAGACAGCTGAGGCTGCCCGCGAGCAGGAGTGTGCTCTACAACTCAGCGATCATTCCTACACTTAGTTCTCGAACTACTGGAACCTGAACACTTCAAACCCAAAAATGAGTGTTACGGTTTTGGAACTTTTTTCGGAAGCCGAACATGCTCTGTTCTGAGCATAACTTCCGTTTTGAGTGCCACACTTCCGTTTTCCTAGTGAGGGAAGGCGGGCCAGGCAGCAAGCGAGCAGGCACCTGCCACCCTCCAGCGCTGGGTCCCTCCGCCGCTGCCACAACAACAACCACCCCCTTCCTCCAGCTCTGGCGGACCCAGCACTGAGTGAGGGAAGGCTGGGCCGGGGCGGCAAGCAAGCAGGCAATGGATGATGCCACACACACCCCAGCCTGCTCCCCTTCTGAGAGATCCCCGCCTCCATTCCTGCTTGCAGGCAAGTTGGAGTGGGATGAGGCAGCTCAGCTGAGGAGCGCCTGGCTGCCTTCAGGTGGTGCAGGGGCTCTCAGATGCAGCTTCTGTGCTGCCTCCGCCTTCCCCAACCCCAGGAACTATTCAGCCTGGCTGCCTTCATGGGGTCAGTAATATCCAAGGCAACACGATGACCAAATACAATGATATAATATCTTCTTCAGCACAGCAGAAGGATACCTTTGGTTTTATTTTGACATTATAGTTTATGTGTATAGTTCATAATATTTCGAGTTTATTATAGTTACCATGCATATGCAGGTCATTGTTTTAATATTCTTTTACAGTTTATGAAGCATTTTTGTATCCTTCTGCTGTGCTGAATAAAGAATTCCATGAAAACAGTGGGTATGTCCGGAATCACTGTTCACAACGTCTGTTTGCAAACTACTTTGACAGCGTTGGACGCCATAAACAAAGCTTTATAGGCTGTTTGCACCAGATAAGAATCTGATACATTGCTTCTTTCAGAGACTTGCATAGTCTTCAAAGACTTTCAGAGACTTATATGACTTATGTTTATTTGGTTTTATGTTTTCAAGAGAATCCGTTTAGAGTGCGTAATTTGTGACTTTCAGAGATTCAGAAGTTTTCTGTTTATATGATTTATATATTTCATATTATATAAAAAGTGCATATTGATATCGTATCATTGTATTTGGTCATTGTGTTGCCTTGGATATTACTGACTACTGTTTGCAACACAGGGGTTAAATTGTTTGGTGCCTTCATGGGGTTGCAGGGGATCCAGTGCAAAGGTGGAGGGCCACAGGGCTGCATTAAAAAAACAAACCACGGAAACTTTCCAGAAAATCACAAGGCCAAGAATCTTGAAACTCATGAAAAAGCAGCAACAAACTGAAAAAAGCAGCAACAATCTTGCAAATGAATCAAAATCACAGGAAAACATAAAACAACACGGAATCTGGCTGACAGTAAGAAATCTTACAATCCTTTGCAAAATGGAACGGACATACCTGCCATGACCATAGACTTTGACGTTCCAACCTGCCTCCTCCTCTTCCACCTCCCACAATCAAACTCCGCTTTGATCTGGATGAATATGCTGCATTTAAAGCCTGAGCCACAACTTGGGTATTCAAGTAATTGATGTAGCTGTCTTGCGACTGAATTCTTTCCACCTCTTCCTGGGGCAACAACTTCAGATTCTTCTTCTCCCTGCATTTTGTTAAACCCCTCAGGGACAAGGCATGCTTTGAATATGAACAATCAAATACTTTTACCATGCAGCTTGGACTAGTTGGGGACATTGGCTCATAGTAGTCCTTTTTGGTCCTTTTTCTAGTCTTCATTACAAAGGACAAAGAGCCATGCACATACGGGAAGCAGTCAGTATCACATAATGAGAATTTGTTCTGAAGACCTGTGGTTATCCAGACTTTCCCTCCTCCACTCTGTACCCTTTGAAATAAGGATTCCACCTCTATGATTATAAAAAGTCCATACTGAGAGTCTGCAGTGTAAACAAATACATTGACTTCTCTCCACGTGGCAGGTAGTTCATGGGGTATCCAGAGCCAAGTTTTATGTACTACTCTTTCGGTGAAGGCAATACAAATTTCCTTTTTGATCATCAGAGACATCAAGGTACTCAGGGACCTTTCTCCGTTGTCATTGTCTGGAGCAAAGAGGCCGACCCACGTCCACCGGAAATGGAGGAGGAGTTGGACCACCCCCTGGTACTGAGTGTCTTGCTTTGGAGTCATCCAGTAGACAAAAGGGAACTGGACTTTATCATTAAGAATAATGCCATAACTGAGCTGGTGAGGAAAGAAAAAGAGACTGGTGGTTTCTTTTTCAGAAGTAACATTGGACACTTCTATGTGAAAGATGATGGTAAATTCAATAGGGCAAACCTCACAAGTGGGTTTTTAAAATATATATATATATTGAAGCAGTTTTTCTACTGTTTAACCGCAATAGTCTCTAAGCAGTTTCAAAAGATGCAATACAAAAAAATCAAGAAGGTAAAATTTTCAAATCAAACTTCAATTAAATTGCCTGCTAAAATAAAATAAAATAAAATTATAAAATACTTCAGTAGGCCCCAGAAAGTCAGTAGTGAAGTGGTCTGCCAATCCTCAGCTGGAAAGGAGTTTGATATCATTTGGGCCATAACACTGAACACATGTCTCCTGTTGGATACAAACTCTGGATCTGAGCCATTGGGAACCACTAACAGTGACTCCCCCAAAGAGCTCAGTGATTGGGCCACTAGAGCACACTTTACAGCAATGGAGTTACTTGCTGGCAATAGAGTGCATTGCAGTAATGGAGCCTTGAGTCACCAATGCATGGATCACCATGTCCACACTGCATCAAACACAGGAGAGGACCCTCAGTCAACCAGCTACAAATCCCCCTAACAGTTACCTCATCCAGCCCAAACTTCTCTGCATGTATATCATAGGCGATGTTTTCAAAAGTCTTACTGAAATCAAGATACACTACGTCCACAGAATTCCCCTGATCCACCAAGCTTGTAACTCTATCAAAAATATGCTTTACCTACAGAACGTAACTTGAAAACAACCAGACTCACATTCGCTTGGTTGCATAACTCTTATACTGGTCCCAGTATGTGGGATAATAATGTGGATTACAAATATATTGCATTCTGAGCTAAAAACAGAGCTCCATCTCTTCTCCACTGAAGCCCTTATTCAGCCACAGGCAGTTTGCTAGAGACAGAGAGAAAACACATCCATTCTCTTCAGCAGCTAAGAACAAAGAGCACCCTACCCAATAGGGATGCCTCCCAGGTTAGCATATACATAGATGAGCTAAACACCTTGTGACACAACCAATGAAAGTTTCCAGCCATGCTTCACAGTATACAATACAGACACATTATTCATTTCCCATTTCAATGTACATTAAACAATTGTACTTACATGCAAAAGGTTCCAGGCTCAATTTATTTCTATATGGCTCTTCACCTCATGAAAGACAATGTTTCAAAGCAGTGTACAATGTAAGGTAAGCAATACAATCAGTTACATTATCCTAAGTTTTTTCCTACAGTCTGACTAGGTGGCATATGTTGCCAGGGGTGTTGGACCTGAACCCAGTTCTTACCTGTGGGATCTTGTAGATGCCCAACATGCTTGCAATGTGTGTGGAGATGTCAGATTCACCCGCTTCAAGAACAGCCAACAGCTTTTTCTGTCTTCCACACCTGTAGTTTGGAATATTGATTTCCCCACCAGAAAAAAGGTCTATCAGGGCATCGGAAGTCATTCTTCCCTGAAAACAGGTATCATACATGCTGAAGCCAAGGGTGATGTTTGGTAAGAGTTTGGGATTATCATTGATATCCTGAACAGCAAGGGCGAATGACAGAACGTGTGAGCTCCTCACAATCTCCCATCTGCAAAAATAGTGTGTCACACAGTTACCCTCTATCCAGTTAGAAAAGACTGTTTATGTATGCGACAACAGCTGCAAGTGTGCTACAAGCCCAAAGAGGGAAGGAAGAAATAATCCCGACTAGGGAAGAATGGCAAGCCAAGCTTCTGGACCACACTGAAATGGCAAAGCTAACCGGGAGACTCAGGAACCAAGACAAGGACTTTAAAAAAGAATGGGAAAATTTTATAATTTACTTAGAAGACCGCTGCAAGCAAATCAAAACTTTAGCTGGACTCTAAGAATCACTTGTAAAGTGATGAAGATTATGGATAATTTGGAAAATGAAAATTGTGGGGAACGTATGCATACGCAGATTTAAATTCTGTTACAAGGACCCATTGTAGGGGATGGGGGGAATCTCATGAAATGATTATATAAATTGCTTGACTGTAGATTTCTAATGATAAAACCAAATCAAATATTTCACACAAAGGTAGACTACCAGAAAACAGGGGTAACACAGGTATATCTAAGGAACTGGAGAGTAGCTAGGAGCAGAAATTAATTCCATTAATACATCAGTACTTACAGCACAATTCTCTTGAAGGGGCTACTGGAAAAGGTAAAGTATTGCTGCTTTTGAAAGAATCTTGGAGATATGATTCCACCAATGAGGTGGTCTGCTGGCCGGTAAAAATTCACAGGAGAGTTTACATCACCGATGAAAATCGGTGGGCACTTTACCCTCTGCTGTAACCCATAGGTTGTGAGAGACATCACCAGAAACAGTTTTATCATTCTGGGTCTCTTGTCGAAGGGGGATTGAGGGGAAGGGCCAAAAATTCAGTGGACAAGCATCTTCTATTGCACCCAGAAGGTGTGAAGTGCAATCCTGACTCACCTTTCCAGGCAGAGCTGAGGATGTCCCCTTCCTGGAAAGCTATTGCCAGTCAGCAGATGGTACAGATCTCAAAGGCAGCTTCCTATGTCCTAGTTAAGCTTTGCACAAACTTAGCTTCCCCCCTCACCTGCCCTATATCTTAGCCCCAAGGACTCTGTGGCACATGAGATATTTTATACATCAAACCCTTCAGGCACAGTGGAAGAAAATATCCTCCAGGGGCCCTTAATTGTGATGTTTGTGTTATTGTTCCCAAATGCAATATTTGAGGGCGGGGTGTGAGGATCCCTTGGACTCTGTAAATAATAAGAATAAATCGCTGTGGTTCAGATAATTGTAAAGGGAAGAGAGGTTTCCTCTGGAACTTCAGAAGAGCAGGTGCAGAGCAAGAGAAAAACATGTTTACTGAATAGACTGACATGGGTCAAAGAGGCAGAAAGATGAGTTTGCATTATCTTTATTGGCATCTTAAGAGCCCTGGAGCTGATCAGGCCAAAGGTCCATCTAGTCCAGCATCCTGTAATCACAATGGCCCATGAGTTGCCCCAAAGGGAAGCCCACAAGCTGAAGATGAGTGCAGCAGAACTTTCCCTACATGTGATTTCCAAAAACCATCACACAGGGGTCTCCTACCTTCAGCAGAGGAGGGAGAACATATCCTTGAAGGTAATAACCTTGGGTAGCCTTTCGCCCTCCATAAAGGTAAAGGTCTAGGTTTGTCATCGCTTTTCTCCCAAGAAGCAGGCGTCTTTTAATTTCATGACCGCTGTCACCATCTGCAATTATAATGGAGCCCAAGAAAGCAAAATCTCTCACTGCCTCCATTTCTTCCCCTTCTATTTGCCAGGAGGTGATGGGACCAGTGGCCATGATGTTAGTTTTTTTGATGTTGAGCTTCAGACCATATTTTGCGCTCTCCTCTTTCACCCTCATTAAAAGGTTCGTTAATTCCTCCTCACTTTCTGCCATCAAGGTTGTGTCATCTGCATATCTGAGGTTATTGGTATTTCTTCCGGCAATCTTAATTCCGGCTTGGGATTCATCCAGCCCAGCCTTTTGCATGATGAATTCTGCATATAAGTTAAATAAGCAGGGAGACAATATACAGCCTTGTCGTACTCCTTTCCCAATTTTGAACCAATCAGTTGTTCCATATCCAGTTCAAACTGTACCTTCTTGTCCCACATAGAGACATCACCTTGCCAACAAAGGTCCGTATAGTTAAAGCTATGGTTTTGCCAGTAGTGATGTATGGAAGTGAGAGCTGGACCATAAAGAAGGCTGATCACCGAAGAATTGATGCTTTTGAATTATGGTGCTGGGGGAGACTCTTGAGAGTCCCATGGACTGCAAGAAGATCGAACCTATCCATTCTTAAGGAAATCAGCCCTGAGTGCTCACTGGAAGAAAAGATCGTGAAGCTGAGGCTCCAATACTTTGGCCACCTCATGAGAAGAGACGATTCCCTGAAAAAGACCCTGATGTTGGGAAAGACTGAGGGCACAAGGATCAGTGGAAGACAGAGAACGAGATGGTTGGACAGTGTTCTCAAAGCTACCAGCATGAGTTTGACCAAACTGTGGGAGACAGTGGAAGACAGGAGTGCCTGGCGTGCTCTGGTAAAGGGGGTCACGAAGAGTCGAACACGACTAAACGACTAAACAACAATAAAGGTAAAGGTACCCCTGACCGTTAGGTCCAGTCTCAGACGACTCTGGGGTTGTGTGCTCGTCTTGCTCTTTAGGCTGAGGGAGCCGGCATTTGCCCGCAGACATGTGGCCAGCATGACTAAGCCGCTTCTGGTAAACCAGAGCAGCGCACAGAAATGCCATTTACCTTCCCTCTGGAGCGGTACCTATTTATCTACTTGCACTTTTACGTGCTTTCGAACTGCTAGGTTGGCAGGAGCTGGAACCGAGCAACAGGAGCTCAACCCGTTGCGGGGATTCGAAACACCAACCTTCTGATCGGCAAGCCCTAGGCTCTGTGATTTAGACCACAGCACCCCTTCGTCCCATTCCCCTCCATAAATTTGTCTAAACTTCTGTTACTACACAATTGTAAACAGACCTACTCAGTGGATTACTAAATATCTCAATAAAGACCTGAGTGCATTCCAGCAACCCAATCTTGAATTCAAGGTTGTGCCCTTCCAGTTGTGATGTGCCTGGTATAATGACAATTTAAGTAAGCCCAATGAT